ATTTAGCGTTTATAATTTTCTTGTTATCTTTGTAAATCCATCATGAAGGTTTTTTCTAGTCTGTTATAGAGATATTAATCACATGACCTTTTTGATTTCAGCACTACTTCTATGAACACAAAAGCAACATTTGGCCCACGAGTTCTTCCCAAACTACCTCAAAAAGGTACATTTCACATGACGTTAGCTACAGGTTATATATATTTCTGATTTTTAACTTTATGTTGACCTACACATGATGTCTTACTCTTTCAGTGGCACTACGAAAGATTGACACAATCCACCTCCCCTCAGTGGACAAGTCCGGTCCTGATGTGCTGCAGAAACCCCCACAGGCCCAGGACACGCCTCCCACCAGAGCTTCAGATACAATAACTAGACCCACTGAGCCGCCACCTAAAATCCCACAACCTGCAGAACGCTCCCAGCCTGTGGAGGTGCCGCAGAAACCGCATATCTCAGACCTTCCCCCTAAACCGCAGCTATTTGATCTTCCCCCAAAACCACAATTGTCGGATTTACCTCCAAAACCTCAGATTTCTGACCTGCCCCCGAAACCTCAGCTTAAGGATCTTCCTCCTAAGCCACAGCTCTCTGACCTCCCATCCAAGCCTACGATGTCTTCAGCAGCTGAGACCCCACAGAGGCAAACAACACAGGAGGAAACAAGTCCAAAGCCCCAGCTGACAGAGGTGCAGTCATCCAGTCAGCAGGAGGAGCTCTCTCCAAGACAGGCCAGTGAGGACACTAATGGTGCACCTGCAGGAACTGTGGAGATGCCTGTCCCGATGCCACGGAAAATAAACACAGTGGTGAGTGAAAAGACATTTTATTTATGTACTGTGGACCCAGAAAGTTTAAGTTTTAACAACCAGGAAGTGCGCAAATTCTTTTTTGTACTCATTTCATGACCTATGTCTATTGTTTTATCATTTTTAACCTAATAGACCTAAATAACCTTTTTTTATTCATAAAATTGAGCTTAAAAAGTGCACTTTTTAACTTAAAAAATAAATAAGAAGGCATTAGTTTATATATTAATTAATAAAAAATGTATATATATTATATATATAAGCATTGTGTTAGCAGTGCAAAAGGTCGTGGGTTCGATTCCCAGGGAACACACATACTGGTGAAAAATGTATAGCCTGAATGCACTGTGAGTCGCTTTGGATAAAAGCATCTGCTAAAAGCATAAATAATAATAATAAAAGTATTTATTTATAATTTTTTTTATTTTGTTTTATATACACCACAGTTCAAAAGTTTTAAGACCAGTCTTTTTTCTTTTTTTTTTGAAAGAAATTAATACTTTCATTCAGAAAGGACAAATAAAAAAAATTGTATTGTTTTAAATATATCAAAATAGAATACAGTTATTTGTTATATATTAATAATATTTCACATCGTCATGTTTTTACTGTATTTTTAATTTAATGAATGCAGCCTTGGTGAGCATAAGAGACTTATTTCAGAAACATAAAAAAATCCTACTGACCCCAAAATTTTAAACAGTAATGCTTACTGTAAAAAGATCAACAGGTGTAACACTAATAACTGGAGATCATCTCTGTGCAGGGAAAGAACAAAGTAAGGCGTGTGAAAACCATCTACGATTGTCAAGCGGATAATGACGATGAGTTGACTTTTGTGGAGGGGGAGGTTATAATTGTTACAGGAGAGGAAGACCAGGAGTGGTGGGTAAGTAAATCTGTGCCGTGCGGTTGCTACTAGTATCGTTAATGCAGATTGTCAGGACAGATTGTCACATTCATCAACTTGCCTTTTTACAGATTGGGCACATAGAGGGTCAGCCTGAAAGGAAAGGGGTCTTCCCAATGTCCTTCGTGCACATTCTGTCAGACTGACAGCGTATAACCGGCAGGCGAGAGGCTCTCTAACTAGCACAAGCTCTGCTCTCTCTGGCCTCAAACTGGACTGTGAGCATTGCCTCTGTACATAGCTGCTGAAACCCAAACGGTCTCCAAACAAACAAAACATGAAGTATCAAACCCATGCTCCCTTAATCCTCAAGGGTGAAATGTGTAGACTATGTGTTGTTCATAATCTGTGTTATCCTGCCTACCAGTATTATCGTAGCCATGGCAACCCAGCATGCCAAACTGGGTTTGCAGTAGCTATACTTGGAAATCTAGCACTTAACATGTATGCTGTAACTTTGTTTATGTGTACACATATAGAATTATATGTATGTCCATTTTAAGTGTGTCTTTGTACATACATATGCACAGATGTAAGTGTATATTTATGTGCGTATGTATAATGTACAAGTGTGCAAATGTATGTTAACCCTGCTTGCTTATGGAGCCAGTGTGACTCTTGACATTTTAGTGTACTGTTTTAAAAGAAAAAAAAGATCATCTCTTGAATTTTTAGAAGGCGTAGAAGCAAGAATACAAGTTACTTAAATACTATACCAGTGTTGAAATTCCCAGCATAGTGGGATTCTGGTCAGGGATCAAAACCAAAATGTAAAGTTTTGAACATCTCATCTGCTATAAATAAACAATCAAAATATGCATTCATTCGGTTTGCATTGCTCGCGAAAAAAAGCCAGAAATCATCTTTATTCTGAATGCCTCAGTGAGTAGGAAACCAATTAACATCCCTAGAAAATTGCTAGTGTAATGCTACCACTTTCTACCCGTATGTTTAGCCAGTATGTTCATATGGTGGCTGTATCCAAGGACGTTACCACATAGAACCAGTAATAATTTAAGAATGAACCACTGAAGAGCTCATATCAATCAAACATTTCCGTGTCTATTGTGGTTACGGCTTTGGTTGCATGTGTGGGACTGCTTCATTCCTTCCTCATTGTCGTTTAATGCCAAATCTGACAAAACCGATGCCTCAGCTCTGGGAAAGTGTCCTTGTCAATATTCTTTTATTAGATCATCATCTGGTCTCTGGTTATTATTCATGAATCATGCATAATTTATGAAGATTCACACACTCATACATGGATCTGACTGGTCAAATGTTGTTGGCTTTGTATAAAAATGTTTAGGAGGAGTTTAGTTGTTTGCTTACAGTGAGTGTGGAATGTGATTTCTTTTGGTTTGTTTTGTTCATTTTAAGTTGAAATGAACTGCGAGGTGACCCGGCAGTGAGTGACTGACTCGGTATGACTCAGAATGAACTAACGCTGCTTCTTTTCTCGTTACCCTATCAGGGAGACCAGCATTCATTCTTGGTTTTTAACTATTATTCTATTAAAGCAGCACTATGTAACTTTTTCTGTGTTCAAAATTTGCAAAATGTATATAATGAGCGAGTACATCATGAATTCATCTTCCAAACCGCGTTTTTGTCTTATTCCGAATCACTACGGTACACTTATAATAAGTACTTATATTTGGACTATTGTAGCCTGGTCGGGTTGTCACCGCTGCGGAGTAACACATACCTGCGTGAATCGCCATAGACATAAACGTAGAGAAGTAGCTCCGGTTGGAATGTTCCACCGCGGGATGTGTGCAGTTCTGTTTATTAACCGCTAGAGCGCCAAAAGTTACATAGTGCTGCTTTAACAAAAGAAGATGTATTCATGAATGCCACCTGTACTATATTTGATGATGATAGTATTTGACATTTATAGGGCTAAAGTGTTTCAGCATGGAGAGGGATGGACCCTTTATTATGGGTCATGTTACAATTAAATATTAACTAAGGAATAAATAACAGGAATTCAGCACAAAGAACATCTCTGCTCCATGAACAAGACAACACAACTTGAAGATTTGTAGTATAAAGTTGTGGACGCACCATTCCTGGACTCTTTTGTTTAGACCCCTGTGATGAGCCCACTGTTGGACCACGTCTATCTGTTTAGATGTTCAATACAGCACAACTCCAGATCATGGATTCTTGTGTTGCTAATATTGTAGCATATTAAAGTCTGGAAACAGTTAAAAGGACAACTTCACATTTAAGTGAATAAACTGTATTCAGTCCTAATGTTAAATTTAGGATGAATTTTGCCACTCTCTTGTACCTTTTTTTCTTCTTCTGTGTTTGTTGCACTGTAAGTTCAGACAAAGAAAATCAAACTTGGCTATCAAGTCTGTGAATCTTAAAATAAAGACTTTACGTTGAAACCATGTAGTCTCCATGTTATTTGTTTATTTATTTATTTACTTCAAGCTGGGTTATTTGACATACAGGGTCCGTTTAAAAAAAAAAAGGACTTATTTGATTTATTTTCTTACTTTTCTCTGCTAAAGGCTCATGGTATTCATTAACATTAATACTAACTGAAAAGGACACTGACTTTTGAACTTTTTTTAATGAATGAAAAAAATACATTAGTCAGATCAATACCATTAACACACACACATACTGTATATATATATATATATATATATATAGTAAAAAGCTTTCACGCAGTTTTTACTAAGGTTTTAACATTGATAACAATACCAATGATAATCCTATAATTCTTTGAAATTATTTTGGTATTAATGACTTATGTCCATGCAGAAAATCAGCCTGAAGTTAGATCTATTAGTTTATTACATTGACTAAGGTCTACTAGTCTAAGTGTTTTACTATTTTGTTTATTATTTTAATGGAATAATATTATTTGATGCTATTATTATTATTATTATTAAAATGTAAATTTATTATTTATGTTTTATATTGGACTAAATTAAATATTTAAAATATTTTTCTTGACTGAAAAGCCAGGGGCACGTTAGTCACCATGCTTTGAAATAGAGAACTGCCCATAAAGCACTACCGTGCAAAAGAACTAGAGCATTTCCATGATAATTTCATTACACAACGTTGCTTCATTATTAATGCGCGCGTTTCTATCGTATCGTTTGCGTTTTTCAGTGTGCATTGAGCTCAAAACATCATAAGTGAAAGCAAAGATAGGTAGATCCAAAACAGAAAGAGAACGCTACATGCATAGTAAAACTAGTCAGCTTCCTCTCTCGAAATCAATTCCTTTTATAGATGTAGGCAGAGCTTGTTTAGCGCTCCCTCAGTCGAGTCGAGCTCAACCTGCGCGTCAAACGCAACACTTCTGATTGGCCAATCCGGAAAATGTAGACACACTTCACAATGATCCGCTGAGCAGGGTGTTCTTCGGCGTTTCCCTATATTTACTTTTCACTAAATTGACTGGAAATTAAGGTAAGAATCATGGATTAAGTTGCAATTCCATTCCAATATGCAACCTGACACCTGGCGCGAGAGAAAGTGTGTTTCCTTCAGCACACAGGTGAGGGGAGAGTCTACTATAAAGACAGCCTGAGTGTAAAGTGACTGAAACTAAACTAAAAGAAAGCTCAATAATAAATTAAACTCAATTTTAAAGATTTTAAATGAATGATATTAAACTTTTACTTCACAACGTTTTTGTGAAAACAAGGCGTTTGATCACATTTCACTTGACTTTGAGGTTTATTCATTGTAATGGACGGTGATTATTACAGATACATGGCTTTGGCTGTTTATGTACGCTTGTATACACTTGTCTTATGCGTATTTGTCTGCTGCTGAGCAGAAAAGAGTGAATTTTATTATAAAAACCGAGACTATTCTTATGAACAAAAGCAATGGGTGCGAGTTTTCAGACTTCCTCTGTGTTCAAATAGATCATGCCACTTCCTGATTTTGTTTATTCAAAACACGCATTTCAAAGCACATCAAGTTCCTACATTTTCACTGTCATGCAGACATAGGTTCAAATCTAGATTATTCGATGTACAGAGATAACCATTATGACAGTTTATTTAAATAAATGTTAATCGTTTTAACAATTAAAATGTTCATACGACAATTGCGCGGTTCATTTAAAGTAACCACAGGGTTCCACACTTTTAGGCCAATGAATTTTCATAACCTTACAGGACGTTTCTAAATATTCATGATTATTGAATAAGGATTCTGATTAATTTATATTCAGGCCGATTCACCAGTGAATCTTGCAGACCACTTGTGACCTGTTTTAAACAATTCAGTGAAGTTTACTCTACACTCTAAAAAATGCTGGGTTGTTTCAACCCAACTTTGGGTCAAATATGGACTAACCCAACTTTTGGGTTAAAATTTTCATTTAAAAATTTAACCCAACAGCTTGGTTAGTCCATATTTGACCCAAAGTTGGGTTGAAACAACCCAGCATTTTTTAGAGTGTACACAAGCTCTTTGAAATAATTTAGTAGATAGGCCAGTAATAATTTTAAACCCTCTACTTTTTATGAATACATGTTCACATAGGTAACTTGTGTATTTAATGTGTTGTTTCCCCAAAAATACTAAAGTTTGTTATTTTTCAAGTGAGAAACGCATAGGTTAAGTTTAAGGGGGTGGGGGGGAACTGTTTAGATCAACAACTTTGTATAAATATAGATCATTGTATTTCATTATTTACTATTATTGTGTCACAAGCCAAAATAAAACAATTTAAAAAACGTTTCTGGATATTGGTTATCAGACACTCAAAATAGTCTTACATAAAAAAATAATAATGGACAATCTCTTTATTTTAGAACAGAGCATAACTAGAAAAAAAATATTTTATAGAAATTTCCATGACTTAAGAATTTAAGCTTAATACGTTTACATAACTTAAATTATTTTTCATTTTCCAGGCCCAGAAAACACAAATTTAAAATGCCATTTTTGCATGATGGTACACCCTAAAAAATGCTGGGTTAAATACAACCCAGTGCTGGGTAAAATAGGGACAAACCCAGCAATTGGGCTGTTTTGACCCAG